AGTCGCCGACTTAGGCTGAGATATTAGCGGTATACAAGTGTATTAAATAAATAAATAAATAAATAAATATTAAAGGGTGATGGGAAGACATGCAGACATAAGCAGCTTGATTTGAATTAGAAAATATTTTGTGATGTGTTGCATCTGTAGAAATTATTTTAATTGATAACTCTTGATTATGTGCAGATCAAGATCTCTGCAAGTCCATAAATCATGGGTGTGAGCAAGTCTGTGTTAATACTGAAGATTCATATGCCTGCAAATGTCACGAGGGATTTATGTTAAGGGATGATGGGAAGACATGCAGAAGTAAGAAGCTGGATTTGCATTTGAAAATACTTTGTGATTTGTTGCATCTGTAGAAATGTTTTTTAATAGATAACTCTTGGTTATACACAGATCAAGATATCTGCAAGTCCATACATCATGGTTGTGAGCATGTTTGTGTTAATGTTGAAGATTCATATACCTGCACATGCTATGAAGGATTTATATTACGAGGTGATGGGAAAACTTGCCGAAGTAAGCAACTTTGTCTTCATTAGAAAATACCTCTTGTAAACCTGTTGCATCTGCACAAAATGTTTCAATGAGAAAATTTCTTGTTACATTCAGATCGAGATGTCTGCAAGTCCACTAATCATGGATGTGAACACATCTGTGTTAACACTGGAGACTCCTATACCTGTCAATGCCACGAGGGATTTGTATTACAACAAGACAGGAAATCATGTAGAAGTAAGTCATTTTAATCCCACTTCATCCTTCCCTAGTGGATGTGAACCCGGTTCAGATATACTGGAATGTTAAACCATTGTTTAATGCAAAACAAGCCTCTCAATCCTGCAACTCAAGCACACGCAAACATAAGCTCTCTCCTTTTCTCTAACTTACACCAGAAGAGGAACTTGAAAGCATCCATTCCAGTAGTGAATGGGATAATTAATTCATACATACAGAAACAATTATCTTTTTCATTTCCTCCTGTAACTCTCCCTATCCTAGTAGAAATTCATTGATCTTTCAAGCCCCTGATTTCCAAAGGCATTTGTCATTTGGAAATCGCACACAGAAATACAAATGCAGTGCTAGCAATGCACAAAAACTTGGTGTCAAGATTATTGCAAAGCTTTTCCAAGCTTTTTCTCCTCACCATCACTCTTCCAGGAAAGCTTAGAGCAGGAATGGGAATTGTGTGGGCCTTCAGCTCTGGCTGAACTACAACTCCCAGCAATTCATTGGCTGTGCTAGTTAGGGTTCTGTAGACTCCAACAACATCTGGAGGATAACACAATTCTCACCTCTGTGCTCGAGGATCGGAATTGCCTAGAGATTCGACAGGTTTACTGATTGCTTGCAGCCCAATTCATAACATGGAAGTGTTTTCCTTCCTTCTATCTTTTGCCACTGATCATGTTCCACTCGTGCATTCTAGGATTTTAAATCAAAAAAGTAATTTTCCCAAGATTTTGCCCCATCACTTCTTTTCCCTCCCTGTCACAGTAGCTAAAGGAGAATGATTTGGAGAAATTAGCTGGCCCTGATTGTTTCTTGCTAATTATGTCCCAACAAAGGATTCCCCCAGGCAGTAAGAAGCCAGACCTTGAAACTGCTAGACCACTAAAGGCTAATTAAGGTGGCAAATTGCAACATTCACACCTAGCTCTGACAGACAAGAGTTCTTTCTCCCACCCTGGACATTCTATAGATATATAAACCCCATTTTCCTATTTTCCAACAGACCTCACAACCTCCGAGGATGTCTGCCTTAGATGTGGGTGAAATGTCAGGAGAGAATGCTCCTGGAACATGGCCATACAGCCCAGAAATCTCACAACAACCCAGTGATTCCAACCATGGAAGCCTTTGGCGATTCCTATTCTGGTGGTTGTTTCGTCTGGTTTAAGGCATTATTCTCTTTAACGCATGTGCTTGTGGTTGATTAGAAGACCCAGTAGGATTAGGAAGTTTAGCAAAGCCTTAAGTAGGAGGCAGAACCAGGCTGGTTTTCTTCTTTCCTTCATCCTTATCATCTTCTCTGCAAGATTAAAGACTTAAAACACCTACGCAGACTACTTCACACTTCTTAAACATATGGGAAAATATTTTGATATGCATCAGTGAAGGTCTTTATTTTGTTTCCAGGCAAAGATCCTTGCAAGTACATTGAACATGGTTGTGAACATGTTTGCATAAATAATAATTATTCATACCTCTGCAAATGCCATGAGGGATTCATACTGGAAGAAAATGGGAAAACCTGCAGAAGTAAGACAGCCTTCCTTTCTTTTTAAATGTCTTTTGATTTCAAAGATGAATGGACCCAATATACAAAAGTACTTTAAGATTAAGGGAGAGAGATTTTAGTATTGGCATGATATGATCGCTCCTAGATGTTCCAGTAACCACTTTGGTTGTCATGTTTTGGGATAATTGAAATTTCAAAAATTGGTACAAAGGTAGTCCAGTTCACAGCAAGTCTTGGGGTAACCGTGCATGCACTGCCATCTTTAGATCTTTAGGTCCTCTATTAATTATCTGTACCTGCAGTGTGTTTGTGGTAGATATTATCTTCCATCCTTTGTTACTATGTATAATAACCAAAAAGCCATCAGTGTTTGAAACCTCAGTCCACTAGTGGCATTCAGGGAAGCTAGGAACACATAATGTTTTATAGCCACACAACACATTCAGCAAGATTAAACAGTCACTTTCCCATACCACTTTATACTGCAGCTGTGGGAAATGTGTTTTTGAGCACATAAAACAAACAAGCAAGCAAACAAACAGGAAAGCAACCACAATGCACATGGGACCTTTAACAGATTGGAGAATGTCTACTATAATTCTCCATCTCAGTGTTTTGCAAGTGGTCTGATGTGGAGGGCCAGCAATTCCCCCGCTTCCCAATGAGCCAGGGACCAATACCATACTTGTGTCAAATTAATATGAGATTCTTATATAAGACCAAATGTGTCTGTAATATGTTTACAATGAAACTGTAGTCAACTTTTCTCACTGCAGCACCGCACCCAATACATATTCTTTTAATTTAATGTGTCTGTGCTTCATTATAATGTCCCCATTCTTTCAATGTTTTAGTTATAAATGAAAGCTTGCCTCATTTCTAGATAGATAGATTTTTTAAAAATATTTATTATTTATTTATTTACAGTATTTATATTCCACCCTTCTCATCCCAAAGGGGACTCAGAGCGGACCACAATGCACACATACATGACAAACATTCAATGCCATTTTTAGACATATAGACAGATGGATAGAGGTATTTTGGCATTTCAGCTTCAGCGTCTGGAGGTTATTCTTGATTCTGGCCACAGGTGTCATTTCATTCACTATGACACCGAGTCATTTTTTATTGTATTTCCTCCTTGCTCTGATCACTGGCATTTTTATGGTGTCGTAAAATATCTTCCAGCTTTTAGCCATCCCTAATTTCTCTACTCACAGCTCAGCTGTTTTCAAACTGCTTAGGTGGACAGTAAGCCAGGCTTAACAGTTGGGTGCTCAATCCGACTTGGGCTTTGAACTTGCCACCTTCCAGTCAGCAGTGATCTATTGCTGCTGGTGATTACAGCCTGGCCTATATAACAAAAAAAATGACAATAACAGAACTTCTATTATGTTTTCACACTGTTGAGTTGAGCTTCAACATTTTTACCAGTTTTAACATATTATCCACAAAATAAACTCCTCAAAATAAATAAATATGGGTGTTACCTTCCCCTGGATCCAACTATATATTATTTCCAAAACATCATTGTTTCCACTGCAGGTTTGCTCCCTTGCCCTTCAGCAAACACATATTCCATAAACTTCCTCCATATTTTCCAAAAATCAATTAATTTCCAAATTCCTTCTTTTAGTCTTAATACCGCATGTCAATTTATCATTTCTCACTATATTCCATACTTCTTTGTACCAATCTTCTATTTGAAAATCATGCCTTTCTTTCCATTTTTTAGCTATTATCAGCCTCTCTGCCATTAGTAAATTGGAGATTAACTCTTTAATTTATTGTGGTATTTTAATATTACCATATATCAACAGTAAAGCTATTTCTGGTGTGCTCATTCTCTGAAATTGTGTTATTCCCCCCCCCCCCCCCTTATCTCTTTAAATATAATTTTCCAAAAATTGACATCCTCTTCAACACCAATGTGAATATTTCTTGTCTATCTGGTTTAATCTGTCTGGTGTTAGATACAATCTTTAATCCTTACAGACATATTTTTCAAAACACACATATCCCATATTTCACAATCTTTTTTCATAATCTGTTTCCCATGTTTCTGCATAGCTCAATTCGGATATCCTTTCCTTCTTTTCATTTACTTGCTCTTGGTACAGAATATTCAGAAGAGAATGAGAAGTCTCTAAATTGCACAAAGAGACCATTTCAACCTGCTCTTGATCTTGTTTCTTTCACTAGTTCTTCCTTTTCTCCCTTTTATTTTAACAGGATGCACTGAAGGCCCAGTTGATCTGGTATTTGTGATAGATGGATCAAAAAGTCTGGGAGTAAATAATTTTGAGATTGTCAAGGAATTTGTGTTGGGAATCTTGGACTCTCTTACCATATCACCCAAAGCTGCAAGAATTGGTTTGCTGCAATATTCCACACAGGTCCGCACAGAATTTACACTGAAACAATTCAGCACAGCCCAAGATATGAAGAAAGCAGTGTCCCAAATGAAATATATGGGGAAAGGCTCCATGACCGGACTTGCTCTGAAGCAAATGACTGAGAGGAGTTTTACTGAAGCAGAGGGAGCCCGGCGCTCATCGGCCAAGGTGCCCAGGGTGTGCATTGTGTTCACAGACGGACGGGCCCAAGACGACGTCTCCGAATGGGCTGCTAAAGCAAAGCAACATGGTATGATGAAAATGTACCTAGAATTACAAATTGTAAGGGCACTTGCTAAAATCCTGAATGCCAATGTGTATATCAGATTTATTATTTGCGCAGTTTCTAAAGGCATGGTGCATACCCTCCAACTGTTAATCACTAGAGAGTTAATCACTAGAGAATAGAGATTAATCATCTCTCATCTCATGTTTCCTGCAACTTTGAAAATATGCCATTTCTTTCTCTTCCTTCCACTTTTTCCCTTTATCCTCAACATACTTCCATTGGTGCAAACTAAATTCAAAGAACAAAAGTTGACTCTGAGGAGGAAAGAGAACAAGGGGAGACACCTTTTCCCCCTGAAAAATCTTCCAGGAATGAATTTTCCTTCCGAGGCATAGATTTCTCTCACCTCCTGTTGTCTCACCCTGTTCTTAACTATGGCCACTTCTGCACTTATTGGGGTTCAGCCTGAGTTTGAACTTGAACCTGATCTCTGTTTGTTCCTCCTGATGCTAATGAAAGTATATTTACTGATGCTAGTGGAAATGTACCTTTTGATGCCAATGCTCCTGAAATTAGTGAGGAAGAATCTGCTGTAGGTTTGGAAAATGCCAATGTTCCTGAAATTAGTGAGGAAGGAACTTCTGTAGATTTGGAAAATGAAAGTACCAGTGTTAATGAGAATGTTGCAGAGGGAGACCTTGAACTTTCCCTCCCTTCTGCACCTGTTAACTGTAATGACAACAGAAGGAGCCAAATTTGGGAAGACAGAAATAAAACACTCAGTTTGCGTCGATCCTCCCGAATTCAAGAATTAAAAACATTGGCTTCAAAACAGAAGGGCGGTTCACGGAACCGATTCTTGAGTTTTAATTGCAATACGCCAGGCTGATTCCCTCAGTTCAGGCATCGTTTCAGAATTGATGAAGACCTTGGCAGTTCTCCCGGTTCCCTGGCCATAGTATGGAAAGATTTCTAGGATATCAAGTACGGTTAGTGGATTGCTAACAGATTCAAGTATTTCCCAGAGAGGCTTTTGGTTTTGCTTTGTCCATTTAAATTCATGTTTGCTGATTTTGCTGTGGCTTTTGACTTGCATTTTTCCTTTATTTTGTAACCATTTTTCTTCAATAAAAAAGGATTGTTTTTCACAGCCAAGTGTGGTGGATAGTTATCTTAGGCCTCGTTCTCTGCTCTGGATTGCAACAGCACTGCCATATAAAATCCAGATTATCTGCTTTGAACTGAAATATATGGCAATGTAGATTCCTATAATCAAGTTCAAAGCAGATAATGTGGATTATTTGCTTTGATAATCTGAACTATATGGCAGTTAGAGGTGTGCAATTTGGTCAAAAAGCATGCCATTTCAGGGTCCATTTTCAGGTAATCCCTCATTCTGTTTACCAGAAAGTTACTCGAATTAGGAGGGGTGTTTCTGTTTTCATTTGGCAAAGATTCGTCCCATTGGCTACAATGGGAAACTTTAAAGCCTCAATCCTCAGTCATATTAAGGCCTATCTGCATGAAACCTACCTTAGTTTTAGATTCCATTTATAACTGCAGGCCTGCCAAGTTTCGAAACAATTCACTAATCTGCTGGTTGTTTTTTTTATTGGCTGAGAAACAGAGAGAGAGAAAACTTCAACTCCCATCATGCTCCTAGAGGAAATCAGAGACTTTTCAATGCCTGCCCCATTCAAGTGCTGCTGGGAAAGCAAATTCCCAGCAGGGCCCTCTCTGGAGAAGGAGCCTAGAATACTTTCCAAAAAGAAATGGATGGACACTAGTGCTGCCAGGGAGGGAGAAAAAGACATTGCAATAATCCAATCTTCTCCAGGTGGCGCGATGGGTTAAACCCTTGTGCCGGCAGGACTGCTGACCAACAGGTTGGTGATTCAAATCCGAGGAGCACAGTGAGCTCCCGTCTCAGCTCCAGCTTCCCATCAGGGGTCATGAGAGAAGCCTCCCATGTGCTCTGCATCAACATGATGGTAAAACATCAAACGTCCGGGTGTCCCCTGGGCAACGTCCTTGCAAACAGCCAATTCTCTCACACCAGAAGCAACTTGCATTTTCTCAAGTCACTCCTGACATGAAAAAAAATCTTCTCCAGACCCCTGCTTCAGGTATATTGCAGACTTAACTCTATCCTCTCCAGTAGCCGATAAAATCCGGCTCTCTTGATCCGTTCTGCCGAGCTTTTCAGTTCCCTCCTATAATAATAATAATAATAATCATCATCATCATCATCATCATCTTTATTTATACCCTGCCACCATCTCCCCAATGGGGTGGCTTACATGAGGCCAAGCCCAACAACGCAATACAATAAAATAAAATAAAAACACAAAACAACAGCATAATAAAATACATAAAACATAAAAATACAGTAAGCAATATAAAATTACAATAAAATCCTTCACAATCGCAGTGACAATGAGCAGGCCGCATGTACAGGATAAAATACTAAAAGCTAAAAACTCGGGGTGAGATAGAGATGGAGCAGATTGTTTGTGGGGGAGAAGCTCATCAAAAATGGGGTCATTTTTTGAGATTATATGAAACGGACCACCAAATATTACAAATCATTTTCATTCAAACTGATTTGGGCCCAACTCTAATGGCAGTGTAGAAGTGACCTATGAGTCGTTTGTAAGTTGGATGTTGTAACTCGGGGACTGCCTGTATATGCCTATTCTTGACTTTCATTCTGGGAATCTTCCAGAGACTGATGAATTACATAATTTCTGGGGCTTTATCTGGGATGTCTATGCCTCACCACATTTATGGATTGTTGGGAACTAAGTTTTGCGAGTTATCCTCTGTGGCTGAGAAAATGTCTGTTCTCCAGGTCTCAATATATATCCAAAGACATATATTGAGCACGTTAATTAAATCTGATTCCTGCTGCTATGTACTTTCCCCATTGCCAATGATACTATCAAAATGAGTCTTAGGAGATTGCATAGCCTCAGAACAGCCAGTGGAGTTATGTTGAGCATAAGTTTTCAAAAGGGATTTTGATGTCTCACAAAGAACGGACCCCAGCATTGATAATTCATTCATAAAATTAAAGCAAGTCCTTGGGAAGAAATGTGAAATGTTTCTGGTCCTGGCTAATACAGCATGAAAGATGTAATAGTATGTTTTTCTGGAATAGAAACAAAATGGCAAAATGTATTGGACAAGCCGTTATTGCTGAATGAGTTCACCCTTCCCCAGGGTTTTCACTGACGGCAGCAGCTGTCTTTCCGTATATTTGAAGATCTGTTTAGTAATAAATTACTCAAGGAATGCTTCTTTTCTACAGCTATACTATGGGGTACTCGATATAATTAATTAAATTAAATGAACAAAGCGTATTTGATGAATCAGATATTCCCAAGAGGACATACTAATAAGACAGAAACCTGGAAAAATGATCTAACACATTGGCTCTGATGTTTCTGACTTCATCGAAAGCCTGCATTAATACAAGATTTTACAAAGATAAATATGTAACACTAACATGGATTCTAAACAAATAGAGAACTGCAAATCAAACTGCTTTTACCAATGGTTTTCAACCTTCCTAATGCCGTGACCCCTTAATACAGTTCCTCATATTGTGGTGACCTCCAACCATAAAATTATTTTTGTTGCAACTTCAGAACTGTTTTTTTGCTATTGTTATGAATCGTCATGTAAATATCTGATATGCAGGATGTAGTTTCATTCACCAGATCAAATTTGGCACTCGATATGCCCAAATCTGAATACTGGTGAAGTCTGTGGGAAGAATTGATTTCATCAGTTGGGAGTTGTAGTTGCTGGGATTTATAGTTCACATACAATCAAAGAGCATGCTGAACTCCACCAAGGATGAAACTGAACCAAACTTGGCACGCACAACTCCCATGACCAACAGAAAATACTGGAAGGGTTTGGTGGGCATTGACCTTAAGTTTTGGAGTTGTAGTTCACCTACATCCAGAGAGCACTGAGAACTCAAACAATGATGGATCTGGACCAAACTTGGCACGAATACTCAATATGCCCAAATGTGAACATTGGTGGAGTTTGGGGAAAATAGACCTTGACATTTGGGAGTTGTAGTTGCTGGGATTTATAGTTCACCTACAATCAAGAGCATTCTGAATCCCACCAATGATAGAATTGGGCCAAACTTGCCACACATGACCAACAGAAAATACTGGATTCAGATAGTCTTTGGCAACCCTTATGACACCCCCTCGCGATCTGCCAGGGGTCCCGACCCCCAGGTTAAGAAACTCTGCTTTACACAGTATCCAAGAGAATGAATGTTTGGTGTTTCTTAAAGATACACAGCAGTTTATGTATGGATGTAATCATTCAGTTTTTTATCATTCACTTTTGGAAGATTTTCCAGCTGAATGTTTGGATCTCTGAGAATTTTTTCTACCCGATGCATAGAAAGATGGATGTTGTCATGTAAACTGGTGTATTTGTTGCAAAGCAGCCTCAGAGGGGAACCATTTGAACAGAGAAGAGATACAGATTGCTCAAACATCACACCATTTGTCTTTTTTCCACCTCAAGGAAAGATAACCTAGGACAGTCTATATCCGTTTATTAATTTATTAATTTATTTACAGTATTTATATTCCTCCCTTCTCACCCTGCATGGGACAGGGTGGATTACAATGTACACATATATGGCAAACATTCAATGCCAAAGACACACAACAGATATAGACAGTCAGAGGCTATTTAACTTTTCTGGCCACCAGGGGAGCTGTCGCTTTCATCGTCCATCTGCGACACTGATGAAGTACTTCCGCATTCCCCGCATGCTTTGCTGGAGTGCTTTGCTGGAGTCTTTTTTATGGCCTCGTAAATTAGTTAAATTAGCCTCCCCACATATAGGTGGTACCTAATTTTCCTACTTGACAGATGCAACTGTCTTTCGGGTTGCAAAGGTCAACAACAAGCTACACAATTGGTCGAAGCTCACTCTGACCCGGGCTGGCTTCGAACTCATGACCTTTTGGTCAGAAGTGATTTTAATGCAGCTGACACTCAGATAGCTATGCCACAGTCCTGGTTAACTATGATTGTCAGGCTAAACAAGGGGAGAGCAACCTATGACATTCCACATGTTGGACTGCAGTGCCTATCATCTGCCTATCAGTGCCTATCATCTCAAATAAAGTAAATAAATAATAAATAAATAAATATCATCCCTGGCCAACATAATCTAGAGAGAGAAGCTGAAACTTGCAGTCCACTAGTATCTGGAGTGTGTTCCTATCCTAGTCTAGAACCTCACTGCTTGGTATGGGAAGGTGAATGAAAAAGCCAACAGCAGGGTGTATGCACACACATCTTAATGATTTATAAATGCATATAATGTATAGATAAATCCTAAATCCTGGAATTAGCTATGATGTGAAGTTATTTTAAAATGCAGCCTTGGCATGGAACTATGATGACTGTATTCAGATGTTCAAGTCATAAGCATATTATGTGAGCCGGTGCATGGAACAGCATTATACATGGATTTGTTTGCATTTGAAATCCTTTGGTTGTGGGGGTTATTAATTAAATTAAAACAATACCATCAGCCTTTCATATTTGCGGATTGAATTTTTGTGAATCTAATGTATTCTCTAGCCATTGGTAGGTATCACAGCCCGATTCTATGGTCAACGCTCAGTGAAATGAGATCGTAGGGTCATTTTCAGTTGCCAATGCTGTGTCTTACTAACATATTGTTGCTTATAATGAAAATATGCCATTTCTTTCTTAGGAATCACTATGTATGCCATTGGAATAGGAAAAGCAATTGAGGAAGAACTGAGAGAAATTGCTTCTGACCCTCCAGAAAAACATCTTTTCTATGCAGAAGATTTCAGTGCCATGGGAGAGATTACAGAAAAACTCCAAAAAAGAATGTGTGAAGGTATAAAGTATCACATTTTTTTTGTCCCAGATACAATAAAACTGGATGAACCATTAAGGCAGATAGAATTCCAGATCGGACAGGAGCAGTCTGACAATTTGTTCGGAACATCTGCAAAATCACAGACGTGTAAAACATGACGAGCAATAAGCTGCCAGAAAGAGTAATATGTCAACTATTTATCACTGAGGGAATATATAACTTTAGTCTAAGGCCAGGAACATATACAATCATTTCTGTTTCTTCTGCCATGTACAAAATGTCCAGCTCAAGAATCCAAAAGAATTAATAACACCCTATTCCCTCCCATATACTGCAAGAAGAACATCTGTATAGTGGGCTGCTGTGAGTTTTCTGGGCTGTGTGGCCATGTTTTAGAAGCATTCTCTCCTGACATTTCACCAGCATTTATGGCAGGCATTCTCAGAGGTCGTGAGGTCTGTTGGAAACTCGGCAAGTGGGGTTTATATAACTGTGTAATGTCCAGGGTGGGAGAAAGATCTCTTATCTGTTGGAGGCAGTTGTGAATGATACAATTGGCCAGCTTGATTAGTATTGAATGGCCTTTCAGCTTCAAAGCCTGACTGCTGAAAGGCCATCCAATACTAATCAAGGTGGCAAATTGAAACATTCACACTTGCTCAAACAGACAAGAGTTCTTTCTTCCACCCTGGACATTTCACAGATATATAAACCCCACTTGCCAAGTTTCTAACAGATTTCACGACATCTGAGGATGCCTTACATAAATGTGGGCAAAACATCAGAATAGAATGCTTCTGGAACATTGTCATACATGGGAGTTCTTTCTCCCATCCAGGGCATTACACAGATATATAAACCTCACTTGCCTAGTTTCCAACAGACCCCACAACCTCTGAGGATGCCTGTCATAAATGTGGGCAAAACATCAGGAGGGAATGCTTCTGGAACATGTTGTGAGTTTTCCAGCCATACAGCCCAGAAAACGCACAACAACCCAGTGATTCCAGCCATGAAAGCTTTCAGCAGCATCTGTACAGCTGAAAACACCATGATATATTCTTTTGGGACCTTTGAGCAAATACTTGGAAATATTTACAATATTTGAAATGGCTTGATGGTGAGTATTAATCCAATTTGATGACAGAATAAAATCTTGTTGTCTTTCACCATGACTTTTGCCAAGGTTAGTGGTTTTGATGGATAGTTTGTTTGTGCCTCCTTCATGCTCCATAACTGCAGATCTTACAAATAGTGTCTGTTATAGGCTTCAAAATGAGGAGGAATTTGGTCAGTGAATTGAATATAAATGCCTTTCCAGGGAATATTCTGTAACTTCCCTAATTTTACTGGCCTCCATTCTGTAATGCACCAGTCTTTCCATTCGTTTACTCCCCTCAGTTTATTTCTTGCTGGAAATAAACATCACCTGGGCAATGTAATTGCAGATGGCCAATTCTCTCACATCAGAACCAACTTGCAGTTTCTCAAGTCACTCCTGACACACACACACAAATCTAACTAAAAATCCCAGTACTCCATAAGTTGCAGTCATTGCAGCTAAAATGGTCTGAAAGTGCTATAATTGTGTAGTGTGGGAGATATCTTAGTGGGAAGGTTTAAAAAGCAATCACACAAACCGAATGTACCAATAAATAATACTGAATTTAGCTTCTCTTTCCTTCCCAAGAATAACACTTGTTTCATAGATATTTTATGCAATGATATCTAGGATACTGGAAACATTTTCCCAGTTTCTGAGGTCACTGAGGTTTCTGGAGCCAAAAAGATCCATGAGTTCCCAAGTCACATTTGCTGAAACATCACTGGAAATGATTTGGCCAAATGTACATAGTAACAACTGAAACTGTTCAATTTATTTTCCTGCCAGAAAATATCTCTAGGCCATTTTTAAATCACAAAGTCATTTTTCCTACCACTTTGGTTTGTATTGACATTCATGATTTGTGCAGTATATCAATGCTTCTCAGACTATGCGATAGTGGGGACTGGCAATTTTCCCACTGTACCAGTGACCAACATACTATTTGTGACCAGGGATTGGTAGGTAATGGCTCGGAGACCTGAGGCCAATCCAGAGCTCACCACTTGGAGTAGCACTGCAGTATATTTTGCATTATTTCATATAATACTATTCAGTTTTTACTTCATTTAGCAATATGTCTTCCAGGTCTGAAGAATCGCCAGTATTTACCAGAAGATTTGCTTCATTTGATGGATTCATATTCCGAAGGTTTGAGATTTGCAACCTATGTATAGTATATTTCCATATTACCTGGTTCTTTAGTGAGCACGTTCCAGAGAAAGCAATAATGGGCACACATCTATTGTAATTTTGGGGTTGTCTATTTGGGTAGATCAGCTTTTTGTTATTGTTTTACATACTGGTGATCACCTAGAAAGGCGGGCCAGTCTCCTCTTTTTCTTGTTTTGCAGTTCACACATGCTCAGTAGGGAATTTTGGAGCCAAATGCTATTTAACTTAGTTGTAGGCAGATGCAGATAGCTACAGTGGTACTGGCTGGAGAAGAACTGCATTCTGCCTTAGCTCAAGATTGCATGGATTACTCCAGACCAGGGGTCCTCAAACTTTTTAAACAGAGGGCCAGGTCACAGTCTCTCAAACTGTTGGGGGGCTGGATTATCTATATATACAAAAATGATCTGTGCATAATGAGTACCTTAAAAACAAAACAAAAAAAACTACGGGGCCAAATGAACCCCAAATTTGGCAACAAAACTCCTCACAATCCAGGGAGTGACCATCACTGGAAAAAACCTACAAAAACACCTTTAAATTCAAAAAAAGGAAGAAGGCAACACACCTCTCCTGTCCCCACTTGCGTTGAGGACACAGAATGAGGGTTCCGAAGCAGTGGCGGCAATGGTTGCTGCTCCCTGCATGTCTCTCGGCCCCTAACTAACACTAAGGCAAGGGATCAAAGGGGAGAGGCTGAGGAGAAGGAGGTGGGGGAGGAGAGGGGGGGGGAAGGAAAAATGAGGGAGGCAGGCCGCACTCTGTGCACACACTCTGACTCTCTGTCCCCCCCCCCCCACACACACACACACACTCCCACGGCGCAAGGGAAGGAAGAAGGTGCCATGATGGGGGTAATAGGGACACACAAAACTGACATTGCTTGGAAAGGAGCCCCAAAGACCATCCAGCGCAACCTCATTTGGCAGTAAAGGAAAACACCATCAAAGCCTTCACAACAGATGGCCAACCGATTGGAAGGGAGCCCTAAAGGCCATCTAGTAATTTATAAAAAAAAATGAATGAATTCCTATGCACACTACACATATCTTATTTGTAGTGCAAAAAACACACACTTAAAAACAATACAATAATTAAAATGAACAATTTTAACAAATATAAACTTATTAGTATTTCAATGGGAAATGTGAGCCTACTTTTAGCTGATGAGATAGGATTGTTGTTGTTGTTGTTATGTGCTTTCAAGTCATTTCAGACTTAGGTTGACCCTGAGCCAGGGCTGAGTAAATGACCTTGGAGGGCCGTATCTGCTCCAGAAACTGCTGTAACTTGCTATCAAAAGTCCACCCCTCCCTCCATCATCTTCTCTGTGCTGATGCTGCTAAACTATTTTCCAGCTAGATAGAAGACCAGGAGGAAAATGTGCAGGAAACTGGCCAAGAATGCAAAGACTTTGTGAAAAGGAGCTTCATTGTCAGAGGCTTTGTTAGCAGAGGAATGCCAGTATTGCTTTATATGTGCATTCACAGCTGTATGGCAGTATCTGTATACTGTATTACAATGTTTCTAACCAACCCACTCTAAAATGTGAAAAAGTCACTTTTAAACATTCTATATATGCTTTATTTTCTCTCTGCATTATTTAAAAGCCTTTATTTCAGGAAAGTAAGCAACTGTTAATATAGAAAAAGCATGAAAAAGAAATTGGATGGCAGTAAGGACTCAGAGCCCCCGTTGGTGTAGTGGGTTAAACTGCTAAGCTGCTGAACTTGCTGACGAAAAGGTCGGCAGTTTGAATCCAGGGAGTGGGGTGAGCTCCCACTGTTAGCTCCAGCTTCTGCCAACCTAGTAGTTCATGCTAATGTGAGTAGATCAATAGGTACCACTCCAGCAGGAAAGTAACAGCACTGTATGTAGTCATGCTGGCCGCATGATCTTGGAGGTGTCTATGAACAATGCCAGCTCTTCAGCTTAGAAATAGAGATCATCACCCAGGGTTGGACATGACTAGATTTAATGTCAAGGGAACCCTTTACCTTTACTTTAAAGACTAGGAAACTATATATGAAGCAACTCAATGTCTTATCATTTTAATTATTCTTCTCTGTGGTTTACTGCAGAACCTGAAGCAACTACTCTAGAAATCACAGATGTTCTTGCTTGTCCCAATATTGCAGTCCACCATAAATATCTATTTCAAGAAAAACAAATGACATCAACAGCAACATCAGGTAAAGCTGTTTCCATTCTGCATTTGTGTGAGTTACCAAAAAACCTCGTTTATTCCTGTAGTTTTCAATATTTTGGTCTTAGTTGATCTAGATTGCTTATTGATAATAATATATCAGTTCATTGAAACCAGAACAGATTTAATTTTGATTTGCTAGATATGAAAAAATTCACTCTGATCTTACTTTTCAGGAAAATCTTCAGACGATAAAAAAGATGCTTGCAAATGTGAAAATCTTGTGACGTTCCAGAATTTTGCAAATGCTGAAGTTCAGAAACTAACACAACAATATATCCTTTTTTTGGTACCTATTCCTATTGCATATTATTTAGGAGAAAGTAAAAATAAAGTACATCCAAAACAAACATCCAGATGAATATTTAATCTAACTTTAAAAGATCTGAAGTGGTGTCACTTGGTTTTCGATAGCAGCTACTCATATATTTGCATATCTTTGCTGGGGGCAACAGTAAAGGAATGAAAGTAAAACTATTTTTGCATGCTATATATGTCTCTCGTTGAACTGCGACCCCTCCGCTGTTCTCTTCTATAGTGCAAAGATTCTCCTACCAAAGGCCCCCTTGGGCTGTTGTTGCATGCGGAGCATTTACAGAATAGGTAAGAGTGGCCTGACAACTTCAGGGTATGCTGTGACCTTCTGAAAATAGGTCATTCTTCCTATATATGTAAAGAAAGTGCCAAAATCTGCTTCTGACTTCTCAAACACTGCTGCTGAGAAGCATGGGTGCATCCAAGGATAATCAAGTAATGGCAATTAGTGTTTATTTGTCATGATGACTGTGTATTGTTTCGTGTCTCCCCTCCTTCCCACCCACTGCAAATTTGCTACACTGGATTATGGCATATGCAGAAGTTCTGTAGGTGGGGATGAAGAGCACTTTGAAGAGGAAGCCAGTTATATCTGAAACTATTTTTTTTGTCGTGTCAGGAGCGACTTGAGAAACTGCAAGTCGCTTCTGGTGTGAGAGAATTGGCCGTCTGCAAGGACGTTGCCCAGGGGACGCCCAGATGATCTGATGTTTTTATCATCCTTGTGGGAGGCTTCTCTCATGTCCCCGCATGAGGAGCTGGAGCTGATAAGAGGGAGCTCATCCGCCTCTCCCTAGATTTGAACCTGCGACCTGTCGGTCTTCAGTCCTGCGTCACCAGGGGCTCCATCTGAAACTATAGTCTTAATATATTGTTTAACCTGGAACCTAATCTGCTAATATCATCTGACCCTCTCATAGCAGTGTTCAGGGCTCCAGGTGGGTATACCTTCCTCTGATTGATTGTAGCTTCACATTTTCCTTCTCCCTTCCGCCCCAGTGAATGTTTAGCATTCTCTGGTTCATAGAAACCACCGAATGTTTTGTGAGGAGCAGGGCCCCTTATTGCTAAAATCCAGTCCCATCAATATAGTAAATTACTATATAGCCTCAAGTATAGGCTGAATTTTTCAACCCTGAACCCCCCCCCCTCCCCCTTGGCTTATACTCAAGTCAAGGTTATTTATTACTAGCCATCGCCTGCCACGTGTTGCTATGGCCCAATCTGTGTATATGTGTTTTGTGTGTGTATATATATGTATAGGTAAAGGTTTTCCCCTGACATTAAGTCCAGTTTGTCCGACTCTGGGAGTTGATGCTCATCTCCATTTCTAAGCCAAAGAGCCGGTGTTGTCTGTAGACACTCCAAGCTTATGTGGCCAGCACGACTGCATGGAGCACTGTTACCTTCCCGCTGGAGCGGTACCTATTAATCTACTCAGATTTGCATGTTTTCGAACTGCTAGGTTGGCAGAAGCTGGGGCTGATTGTGAGAGCTCACGCCGCTCCCCGGACATAAACCTGAGACCTTTTAGTTAGCAAGTTCAGCAGCTCAGCAGCTCAGCACTTTTACCAACTGTGCCACCAGGGGCTCCATATATGTGAATATGTGTGTATATATGTGTGGTTTTGCACATGCGTTGTAATGTATTTTTATTTTTTGGCTTTTTAAGTCTCTTCTGCAGGTTTTTTCCCCAGTGTTTTTGAATGATGGTCACTCGTTAGGCTGAAAGGTGTATTGTGTCCAAATTCGGTGTCAATTCATCCAGTGGTTTTTGAGTTATGTTAATCCCACAAACGAACATTACATTTTTATTTATATAGATTTTACTCTGTTGTTATTATTGTTATTACTACATTTACATTATTTTACACTATTATTATTACATTTATGATTTTACTCTATTATTACTGTTATTATTACATTTATTATTTTTCTCTATTATTGTTATTCCATTTATGGTTTTACTCATTATTATTATTGGAAGGATACGTAAGCACATTTACATTGAAGGAGGTTAGAATAATAGTTTAATCAGAATTGGACAGTTCTGTCTTACACTAGTTTTATGTAAATATTCAAACACATTTAAACCTACTGATGCTTCAATTAATGTAATTTTATTGATATCTAGTATTTTTATTTTGAAATAGATATGTTGAAGTAGCTGCTGCATTTCCCACCCTCGGCTTATACTCAATACATTTTCCCAGTTTTTTGTGGTAAAATTCGGTGCCTTGAGTTATATCCAAGTCAGCTTATATTCAAATATATACGGTATTATGGATGATGGGGAGATATAGTCCAATATCATCTGAGAAGCCAGATGCACCATCTTTATATTTATTTTGCAAACCCATACTGGGCAGGTATTTATGGGGTGGGGAGAATACCTATTTATTTTGGTTTTCTTACTTATTTTGCGGCTGCCAACTTCAGAATTCCCTGTATATTCTGATAACTTCTCAATTTCTCAGTAGCCACTCTGGCTTCAGTCCTGATGCACTCATCCTACACATAGAATCATAGAATCAAAGAGTTGGAAGAGACCTCATGGGCCATCCAGTCCAACCCCCTGCCAAGAAGCAGGAATATTGCATTCAAATCACCCCTGACAAATGGCCATCCAGCCTCTGCTTAAAAAGCTTCCAAAGAAGGAGCCTCCACCACACTCCGGGGCAGAGAGTTCCACTGCTGAACGGCTCTCACAGTCAGGAAGTTCTTCCTCATGTTCAGATGGAATCTCCTCTCTTGTAGTTTGAAGCCATTGTTCCGCGTCCTAGTCTCCAAGGAATCAGAAAACAAGCTTGCTCCCTCCTCCCTGTGGCTTCCTCTCACATATTTATACATGGCTATCATATCTCCTCTCAGCCTTCTCTTCTTCAGGCTAAACATGCCCAGTTCCCTAAGCCGCTCCTCATAGGGCTTGTTCTCCAGACCCTTGATCATTTTAGTCGCCCTCCTCTGGACACATTCCAGCATGTCAATATCTCTCTTGAATTGTGGTGCCCAGAATTGGACACAATATTCCAGATGTGGTCTAACCAAAGCAGAATAGAGGGGTAGCATTACTTCCTTAGATCTAGACACTATGCTCCTATTGATGCTGGCCAAAATCCCATTGGCTTTTTTTGCCGCCACATCACATTGTTGGCTCATGTTTAACTTGTTGTCCACGAGGACTCCAGATCTTTTTCACACATACTGCTCTCGACCCAGGCGTCACCCATTCTGTATCTTTGCATTTCATTTTTTCTGCCAAAGTGGAGTATCTTGCATTTGTCACTGTTGAACTTCATTTTGTTAGTTTTGGCCCATCTCTCTAATCTGTCAAGATCGTTTTGAATTCTGCTCCTGTCCTCTGGACTATTGGCTATCCCTCCCAATTTGGTGTCGTCTGCAAACTTGATGATCCTGCCTTCTAGCCCTTCATCTAAGTCATTAATAAAGATGTTGAACAGGACCGGGCCCAGGACGGAACCCTGTGGCACTCCACTTGTCACTTCTTTCCAAGATGAAGAGGAAGCATTAGTGAGCACTCTCTGTGTTCGTCCACTTAACCAATTACAGATCCACCTCACCGTAGTTTTGCCTAGCCCACATTGGACTAGTTTCCTTGCCAGAAGGTCATGGGGGACCTTGTCGAAGGCCTTACTGAAATCCAGGTATGCTACATCCACGGCATTCCCCGCATCTACCCAGCTTGTAGCTCTATCGAAGAAAGAGATCAGATTAGTCTGGCATGACTTGTTTTTGATAAATCCATGTTGACTATTAGCGATGACTGCATTTGTTTCTAAGTGTTTGCAGACCTCTTCCTTAACTCAAGCCAATTATTACAGGAAACAATGATAAATGGATGCTAAATCTCAATGTTTAGTTCTTGGATGTGGTCAACTAGTGCAGTGAGGCAGTAAAGCAATGTGTCACTTATAATCATTCAGCCATATTGAAGCATTCTAAGAAAGGAAGCATGCTGGTGAAATTAAATGTGGGACTCTGACTCCCCCTAGCTGCATGTTCAAAATTCAGAATTGCAGTACTGTAGATAATGGTATACATAGTGGGACACTAATTCAGAGAAATAGTTTATGCTGGATAGACTTACACCCAATAGTTTTGATCATCAAGAGGGCAGGAAGAAATGGCTACTTTCCCATCACCATTTCTGTGAAAGAACTTGTAAAGAGTTGGAGGATCCTCTTGAACAGTGGGAGGTTGTAGGAGTGGGGGAGAAATTGGTGCAAAATTGCCACTCCACTCCCTTCTAGTAGGAAACTTCTGAAAGAAGTCTGGATTTAACAAAAGCCAGCTTTTGACCCATATTCACTGTATCAGTTATGGAATCTCTGGTGTCAAATAAGCAAACACAATGGGATATAATTTCTGCGATGCCAGTGTTATCAACAGAACTGCCACTACATGTAGGAAGTAACCTCCCACTACGTAGAACAGAAATTGCTACCTGGAGACGCATGACTTAAAATGCAGACCATTGAACAGACGAGTGATTAGATTATAGTTTGAGTATAAAGGTAAAGGTTCCCCCTTGACATTAAGTCTAGTCATGTCGGACTCTGGGGAGTGGTGCTAATCTCCATTTCTAAGCCAAAGAACCGGTGTTATCTGTAGACACCTCCAAAATCATGTTTCCAGCATGACTGCATGGAGCACCGTTACCTTCCCACTGAAGAGGTACCTACTGATCTACTCACATTTGCATGTTTTCGAACTGCTAGGTTGGCAGAAGCTGGGGCTAACAGCAGGAGCTCACCCCATTCCCTGGATCCAAATCACCGACCTTTTGGTCAGCAAGTTCAGCAGCTCAAGTTTAGCCCACTGCCCCAATGGGGGTTCCTTAATTTGAGCATACTATAACATTAATACTGGCTTATAACCATGTATGGAAGTGTACCTCTTAGCACAGAGATGAACATCTGGATAGCTATCTGGAACAACAACGCAATACTCTCTATCATTACCACTGAACTAAGAGCATTCATGCTGTATCAGGCCAACAGCATATCTCATTTCACTCTTAATGCAGGTAAATATTTGGATTTCCAGATTGAAATGTCATAATTTGTATTGAATAATCTGATGCTTTTGCACATACTCAGACTATTTACCTTAACGTATGGCTACTAGGAGAAATGTCAAAAAGAATGGAAGCCCTGGAAAATCAATTACGATACCGATGAACATTGATGACGATGCTTCTCAACAGAAGTTTACAAGTGTGTTGGAAGAAAATGTACCAAAGCTATCCACAAAAAGTCCAGATTCTCCCATTAAAGGAGAATGTATAGCTCCAGTACTTTAACAAAGTACCATATTATATTGCGTTTTTGCATTGTCTGGGAATAAAATTTGTATGTTTTTTCAACTGAGATAAGCTATTCCACTTAATAAAATGGTGCTACAAAAGGCATTTTAACTAGTTTAAGAATCTGCAAAGATATGGATGTGTTTTTTATTCTAATGCACAATGCCATCACAACTCGACTTTAAAAAGCAAGTAGCAGTAGTCATGTGGAAGTCTATTTTTGTGCTGCATGACCCTTTTCCTCAGATGTCCAGAAAATTATCTGTGAAACAAAATCTTTTAAGTAACAGAACTCTCTCCTGAAATATGTGGGGGAGACATTGCACTCTTCCCATTTACCTAATTTTTGTTCAATCAAACATTTGCGAAATATATGTATAATGGCATTGCATGTAGTTCTATCATTAGAACACCTTCCATCCTAATTATAAAAACCTCAGATTTTATTTTTAGAAGTACATACATTAGCGAGAACTTCCCGATTATGTGTTTGACAATGGAATACGCATACCTCACTAATGAAGTCCTGCTTGCAAATTCAAGACTGTTACTGACCAGAATGGATCTTTTTAGAGCAGTGTCATAACAGACAAAATCCCAAAGGCACTGCTGTGAGCTGCCTAACTCATTTAATTGTGTTTTGTTTTTGTTTTTTCATTTCTCGGTATGTTTTGAGCCAAGCATATGTGTTGTTCCTGTGTTTCCAATTTATGGTGACTCTTTATTGGGGTTTTCTTGGCAAGATTTGTTCAGAGGGCAATTTCCTTTGCCTTCCACTGAGACTAAGGGAGTGTGAGACATGTTAAAGGCCACCCAGAGGATTTGCATTTCGAAGTTGGAGTTCAAACCCTGGTCTCGAGTCCCAGTCCATTTATACCACACTGGCTCGTGAGCAAAGTATGGCAGCACCAATATGTGCACAGATTTGAGATGTACACATATCACACTGTGAGGCAGCAATAGATGTCAGAGATTAAGGCAGGACCTTGACATACACTGCCAAAGGCAAAGTTCCACAGCTTCAGAGCTTTTACTATGCTAAACATCAAATAAACTTTCAATATATTTTGAATTTCATGTAAAACCCTTAACATTTTAACACTATACAGTTGTTTCTATTTCAAAATGTGACATTCTCAAGGTCACCCAGCATATTCCCATGGATGAACAGGGATTGAAATCCTGTTTTCTCAGAATTCTAGAGTGCACTTTAATTGCCATGGCTCAAAACTATGTAATCCTGGAAGTTGTAGCATTCTCTGCCAAATGTCACTGGTGCTTCACCAAACTACAACTCCCATGATTCCATAGCTCTGAGCCATGACAATTAGTGTTCCCAACTGCATTAATTCTACAGTGTAGATGCATTTGCAGCCCAACACTCAATTTATATGGACTCTACTTCAGTTCTACTACTCTATATAAAATTTATAGCCCTACTCTCAGTGTAACTAAAACCAAGTATCTTAAATGAATGAAATTGTTTTGCCTCATTTTTATCAAATTATCTCCTGTACATTTTATATACACTGTAAATTTTAGGGGTAATCAATTAACCTCTTGCAAAAGGGCCATGCATAGTGGAACTGCTACATAGCATGTTACAGAATACCTGAATTTCAAGCACATAAACAAAAGCCCAGAAAGTAATGTTTGCTTGTCTGCACAAGAGCTGAGGATGCATTTAATGGGATGCAATGCATTCTTGGCCTTCAATAGCACACTGACCCATTTAAGTCTTGATTTTTTTTCTTTGACTTCCAGCTTTACCAGACAACTGTTTTTCCTTTCACCAAAAGTTCCCCACCTTCATGCATTGAACTCATGAAAGCTCAGGCTGACAACAGAGTTATAACCAATTTTATTACATAAAATTTAAACTCCTGCCACATTTATTTTTCTGCAGTTTGCTCTGGCATGCTTCTAATGATGTCAGAATCACCTGTTGGGAAGAATAAAAATATCAGCATCAGTGGCTTTAAAGCAAAAGCGAGTTCCATGACGAAGAGGTCTAAAACTTGAATGTAAAGACAATACTAGGGCAAACTCACATCCTTTCTTTTATACAAAAATATTTTCATGTATTTTCAAAACACTGGTAGATTTTTAAGTATGATTTCAAATTATTCCAGGTGGTACATGATGTTGGAAATTACAATCTGTACATGTTACTTGCAGTTAAAAACCAGGACTAGGGAGAGTAACCAACCCTGGGGACACACTGCATAGTAATAATATAGCGAATGTCTAGCCTGCCCTGATCATGGAAATATCAGGACAGCGAGAATATTCGCATTGTTTTCACAATTCCATACCGTGATTATTTAGAAAGCATACTTTGAATGTAATGGATTTGCACAGGAAAATGTTAGGTGCATTTTGTGCTTTAAAAGGGCTGCGGGATGGATTACATTTAACCTGCCATTAAATACTTTCCAATGTCTACTGAGAATTTAACACAACTTTAATGCATGTTCTGGGACAGCAGATGTTCTGGATTAGCATTACCCAGTTCCATTGAGTTCTCTAAACCATGGGCTAGTTTCAGGAAATCCCTGATAAAAATAGACTTATTAAGACATTTCTGCATAATCAATGAAAAATGTCTGGGAGTTTTGGGGCATGTAGAAAAATACCTAGAAAACTCATAAAATTCAGCCAGTAAATTATTTGATATTGACAATACTCATCACAAAATATTGATAAACTGTGGAGAACATCACTAGAAGTTACAGTAGTAATTTAGGATGCAGTGAAACCCACAAAAGTTATATAACTATGCCATCAAAGTGATGTTGCTAAATCAAAGCCAAGCCTGAGTACTAGAATCAGTACAACTTTCAAAGAATCCTGAAAAAATAAACACATTTAAGGATCTCAGATGTTTCTAAGACTACAACCCACATACAACACACATACGTACCTGGATCAATGATGGCCAATGTACATACTCTGTAGTACTTTCCACAAGCTGTACCCAATTCAATATTGTTGCCACTGTAGTGATGTACACCGGTTTTGGCCAACATTGCATAATACTCAATTTCTGATTTCCTAAAAATTAAATCCATATGAAAGTTAACATACATGTGGAAATTCTTTGCATAGCAGCCACACTAAACTATTCTTCAATAGCATTTAAATCAATAAGCAAGTCAGTCGATTAAAACCAATTCTTAATTATTTTATTAAGGCAACTACAAAGAGTGAACTCTATAATTTAAGAGTGAAAAACATCTTTGTACTTTATTAGATCCCCAGGTGTTTTGGAGCTCATTCTCCCTAAACATATAAGAGATGCTTCTCTAGAATACTATTTCCAAAAGGATATAAATTCTAATAGTTTAAAAATTTTAAAGACATTTTAATAACAGTGAAAAAATATAAACTTGGCCCAGCTAAATTACTGCTACATAATGCTGAAAAATAGAAAGCAAAAAAGCAGAGAAACAAGAATTTTAAAAAATTCTTCCATATATTTCTCCAAAATAAGGATACAAAATAATACTTTCAATGATTTCATCAAGGTTGAGTTTAAATTTCGATTGCTTCTCCAGTCGACTTTTAGTAAAAAGAAAAAGCCAGCCTCAACCTGACTCTTGGAGAAAACTTAACAAACTAATATGCAGCTCAATTATGGGCAAGTATGCTATGACTTCAGAGAGGAAACCTCTGAACACTCTAAATGAAGCACTTACTAGAGTGGCAGTGACATGCAAAATAATAACTACAATAATAAGTAACATGCTATCAACATTTGCAGTTACTTATTTTAAACTTTATGAAAGATACACTAAGAGAACAATTCCAAACACATTTACTCTGACATGCCTACTGAGTTCAATGGGGCTAATTTCCAGGTTTGTTTACATCAACATCAGCATTTTCCACATCCTCCTACACTACACCATAGATAGCTACTGCAGACACATCATACATGTCATATTACTGAGTTCAATGAGGATAATTTGCAGTACAATTTGGGGATTACCACATGTTTAAGAAATCTAAGCAACAAACCTTGTTTGTTTACATTAACAACAGCATTTAATAAATACACCCTTACCTCAAAGCAGGACAATTGTTGGCCAAGATGACCAGCTTGGCTTTGCCCTGCCGGATCATTTTCAGAGTCTGCTTGTATCCAAGTACATATTTACCACTTTTCATAACCAGCTGTAGTCTAGAGTTTATAGACTCCAGGGACTTTTTCTAAAAGAAAATATAATAACATATAGCTTTCAAAATTATTCCAGCATGCCACTGTGCATTTATAAATCTCATCACACACAAAAAGAGGGGTTGCTGGACTTTCTTATACTGTACTCAGAATACCTGGCCTTGTTACACTAAGTATAAATATCTCACTAGAAACTGTTTAACAATAATGATAAAACCTTAAATTACAACCTATTTAGGTATTTTAACTCACCTCAAACCAAACCAGGAGTAATCTGAACAGTCACACATTCAAGTTTTTAAACTAGTGTACGGAAGAAAAAATTGTAATGACCTAAAGAAAAACACTGTTTAGTTCTATTCTAACTACCTCTAGTTCTAAAAAATGCTGTGTTGTCAGTCCTCTGTATCTACAGATTCTGCAATCATGGATTCCACCATCCACGGCTTAAATATACTGTCCCCCATCTCAAAAGCAACTTATGTTTTTTTTTTCATTTTATAAAAGAAATGCCATTTTACTAAACTATTATATATAATGGGATTTCAGCATCCATGGATAGCCACAGGGGGTCTTGAAAACTAAACCCCAGCAACTTCCAAGGACTATCTGTACAGGTTATGCAAATGCGCTTGTAATATAGGCTACTTAATGATGTAGAATGAGTTACCAAGTATTTCTCAAGTATTACATATTTTTTAAAAAAAAATATCAAGACATATTTGACTACTTTATACTTGAATCCTAAATCTACACCAAAATCCTGTTAATCCCAAGTCTTCTGGCTTCTTACTATTTATGCTTACAAATGCAGAATAATCACAGGATGTCTTAAATCTACACCTGTTGATAAACTCTACAAGCTAGCTGGCATTGCTGCCCCTGATGTGCAATGGGAAGTTGATGCTAAATGTGAGAAATAAGGTTGAACACTGTGAAAGCCATCAACTACATGGCTATCAGCCTCCTCCCAGTAGACTCAAATCAAGAAAAAGCTTCATGAGAACTACCACTCCTCTTGGCATCCCTCCAGCAACAGCAAGGGTATCCCCCCCTGGGCAGCTAAGCCAGGAAATCCCAATTGGATGCCCCCCCCACCCACGAGAGTCTTCCTCCAGGGGCAAAACAAGAATGGCCAACTTGGAAGTCCCTGAATAGACTCAGAAGTGGAGTGGACAGATCAAAAGACAACCTGGCAAAATGTTGATAACCTGGCACTACCAAAAAGAATCCCACACCATGTGTGCCTGCGGAGCAGAACAGACAACTCCACATCTGTATGCTTGTCCACTATGTCTTGCCTCATGTATAGAGGAAGAATTGTTGGAGGCTAGAAAATGCAGGCCCTTCCTTTTGCCCCTTCCTCTATCACAGGCAAGACTTGCAGGAACGAGGGAGGGCCRCCCCCCCCCCCCCCGACTTTGGAACTCACCTGGTGAGATCAGGCAAGCCCCCACCTTAGCTCTTCCAATGTGCCTTTGGAGAGTGATCATTTATCCCATTTCTGTTTGTTCCATCTACAGTGCTGCCCCTATGATGCACTTTCCCCCTTCCTAAACTGAAAGCCTATGCCCACTGGTCATCCTTTTTGAGCTCCTCTCAGTTACACTTTTTTCTATTCCTACCTCATCCAGGGTTTTATCATTTTATCTCATCCATTTGGCCTGCCCATTGTGCCCAATTTTATACTATGTCAATTTGCTTTATTTATTTTACTTTGCTATTTTAGAAGCAGAGTGGGCAGATCAAGACAACCTGGCAAAATGGCACTACCTAAAAGAATCCCATACCTTGTGTGACTGTGGAGCAGAACAGACAACTCTGCATCTGTATTTTTGTCCATTGTGCCCTGCCTCATGTACAGAGGAAGAATTATTGGAGGCTACAGACAATGTCATTGCTGTTGCCCATTTTTGTCAAAAGATATTTAGTCGCCTGCACACCTTCTATTTTTATCAGTTTTATACTAATGTATGCAATGCTTTCAATACAAAATAAATAACTTTGCTATTGTATGTATTTTATTCTGATGTAATTCTGTTGTCTGTTTTTTTGCATTTTACTCTGCTGTATTGTATCTTTGGCCGTGGCCTCATGTTAGCCACCCCAAGTCAAAAAGAAAAATGGGTTCCCCTGAAACTGTGGAGACCAGAATCCACTGATAGTGGTGATATGAGAATAACTAAATTAACTCAATGTATATATTACAAATACACATATCAAAAACTGCCACATGCACATAAGTAGAAACAATTGGTTCTTCTCTTGAAGTATAAAGCAAAGTCTTCATTTGAGAAAATATCCTTTCTTTATTACATGTGAGTAGACTCCAGTAGTCACATGAATTGACTCCAACCTGCTACCGGTTTCGACTCACAGAATAGTTGATCCACCCCACCAGAAGACTGTTGGTGAATTTCTCACCTTAAAAGTTGAGCTTGTTTTTGATAATTTGAACCCAACCGTCTGACGAAGACTCTTGTGAGTCGAAACCGGTAGCAGGTTGGAGTCAATTCATGTGACTATTGGAGTCTACTCACATGTAATAAAGAAAGGACATTTTCTCAAACGAAGACTTTGCTTTATACTTCAAGAGAAGAACCAATTGTTTGACGAAGGCTTTCATGGCTGGAATCAATCGGTTGTTGTAGGTTTTTCGGGCTATACAGCCATGTTCTAGAAGCATTCTCTCCTGACATTTCGCCTGCATCTGTGGCAAGCATCCTCAGAGGGTGTGAGTGACCAATTGTCGAAGGATGCTTGCCATAGATGCAGGCGAAACGTCAGGAGAAATGCCTCTAGAACATGGCCATATAGCCCGAAAAAACCCACAAGAACTGAAGAACCAATTGTTTCTACTTATGTGTATGTGGCAGTTTTTGATATGTGTATTTGTAATATATTCATTGAGTTAATTTAGTTATTCTCATATCACCACTATCAGTGGATTTTGGTCTCCACAGCCACCCCAAGTCCCCTTTGGGGAGACGGTGGCGGGGTATAAATAAAGTTTATTTTCATGAGTCTCCTTGTGGAGACAAAACACAGGCTATACATAATAATAGACTCACACAGTGGGAATAGACCCCATGGGCCATCCAGAGTAACCCCATTCT